CAGTCAGCACCCCTGGGGCCATCTTAGACAGCCATAAAAAAGACCAGAGTTCACGGGTGAGGTACCTCGGGATGACTTATGGGCTACAGCTCCTCTGCAACACGCCGCTGCTGTGTGCACACTCCCCTGACCACCTCCTGAGCACAAGCAGGGCAAGAGGCTGCATGTGCTCAGCACTTCACAGGGTTGGCCTGAGATTTCCTGGATGGTAGCAAACAGCAGAGCAGCATTCAAAAAAGACACTGACCATTGCCACATTCTCGCCCAGCCTGAGGGTCCCCCAGGAGCTGGGAGTTTACAGAACTGCATTGAACCAGCAAACATCGCAGCCACAACCCTGCTCGCAGGCACCCGAGGGGGGATGCCCAGGCCATACCCAGCACCCTGAGTCCAGCAAGTGTTTGACCCTTCCCTGGACCACCCTGATGTCACCCGGCTGCTGGGAGCAGAGGATCCAGGTGATGGAAGTGCTCAGACCCCCCAAGGGCAGGGTCTCCACACAGACACTCTTCCCAGGCAGGGGAGGTGTTGGGGGGGAAGATACATATTGCCGTGCTGAAATGCACAAAGGAGAAGGACTAAAACTTCAGGCAGCTCACCAGAGAGCTGAGCAGCTTCACGGGCAGCACCCCCACACAGTAGCGCCAAGCAGGATGCTGGAGTTTGCTCCATCCCTCCTGCCCTGCCTTTCCAGCTGCCTGTCCCTATCCCACTAGGTGCAAGGGGCTAAGGGGGAGCAGAAAGCGACAGGGAAGGGGAGAGGTCGGAGGGATGTCATGGCAGAGGGGTGCAGGAGCCTCCCCTCCCCAGGATGTTGCCCCACAGCCCAGCATTGGGCCCCTTCCTCCCACCCCACGGTTGGGGACTCTGCCCTGGACAATCCCCCTGGTCGGTGTGTCCCCCCTCTGCCCACCCCATTGTGTACTGGAGGAACTGGTCAGAGAGGGGAAAAGGCAGTGAAGGACAGGGTGGGCACCCCAACCTCCTGGTCACAGCCATGCCCACAGCCGGGCATGACAGCGCAGCAGCTCCGTGTCTCTCCGGGCAGCATCAGCCAGATGGCGGGCTGTATCCTTCCTTCCACCGGTTCGTTCCCTCCATCCATCCCTCCTTCCCTCCATCCTTCCTCCCCTCCAGCCATCCCTCCTCCCATCCAGTCCCTTCTCTCCGTCCTTCCTCTCCTCCATCCATCCCTTCCCTCCTTCCATTCACTCCTCTCCCCCATCCAGCCCTTCCCTCCCTCCATCCCCC